TTCTTATTAGGAAATTATCAGAAAAAAAACAATCCTTTTCAAGCTACCACAAACAGGAAAGTTGTACTAATTCAGCTTGATTCAGACACAACAGTAATTCATCCACTTGTGTCTTCAAGTTTTAATTCTCACGTCTAGCTGTTTAAGTTTCAAGTATAAAACAAATTCACTCACAATACCTCTACTGCTAATTGATTATTATAAAAACACCATTCCATCCTGAATTTTTCAGCTTGGACTCCTTCAGCTAATTGACCTCTGCAGCCACGTAACCATCACCTTCAGCAACAAGGAAGTACCATTTGAAGAACACACCTCTTAACACCAAGTCTTTGATTTAATATAAAAGATATTAAAGTAAGCTATATGAAAGGAGATCTCTTGATGATGGACTCAATGCCACAAAGCTGATTTCTGAAAGAAGCACCACTAGGGAATTCAGATTGGGCATTTTTCTCTTGATACATATCAATGCTGCAACAGCTGTTCAGCTACTAACAACAGGTATCTTGGTTTATTCACTTCTGTTTTGTAAAGCATACTGACTGCACAGACCTACCTCCTCAGAGGAATGACATGAAGTTCTATAATAAAGAAACATAAAAGAACACAGGAACAGCAAAATCTGGATATCCTTCAGCTTTTGAGGTTGAATTTTAAATTAAATACTCTTAAAAAAAACTCTAGTATGTTTTGGTTTTTTTAAACTTGCTTTTAAAGAAAAGATGTAATGCAAATTCAATAGTATGTTTGGGAATCCAAATGAGACATATAAGTGAAAATACATTTTAATATTTCTTTTGATTATTAAATCATTTAACCTGCTATTAAAGCAGCTTGAAGGGCTATCATTGTTTGTAGAACATAAAAAGCATTTGAAAACAGCATGAAAGTATTTTGACCTTCTTTACGCTCAGCTATCTTATGAAAGCAGTCATTCAACATATGAGTTCAGCAACGTCATTTTTGCCAATACAGACAAAAATCATTCACCCAAAATCATTATTTTGGTGTGAAAATACTCTATCTCACTACACCTAGAGAATGAAATTATTTCCAAACTATGAGAGGAATACAGACAGTGGTTCTACTGAAGCTAATTTCTGTAGCCAATAGCCAAATCTGTGGGAGTTTAACAAAAAAATGCAATTTATTCAAGATCCTGACTATCCAGTCCTCCAATAACCAATGAAAGCAAGGATGCTTAGCTATAATATCAATAACTTGTTACCATGACGCACTACTCTACCATTTTCCACAGATTTCAGGGGATAATATTTTATAGGTAATATAGGGAACACATATGTTCTGGTTTTGCAATCCTAAAAGACAGTGATCATTTCCTTAAAGTTTTACTGTAGCCTTCTGGCATCTCCAGAGAATTCACACCTAGCCATCTATTTGCATTACAGTACTACTGATGTAAAATGAAAAATAAGAGATCAAATGTTAATCTGTATGGAAGATTTTCAATTAGATTCATATTTCTATTTCTCAGATGCCAAATATTGTGGTTTCCTGTCTAATGTATCACTAGGCTTTGGCAGTTTTCTCAGATTTAAATAACTCAAGAACAAAAGCAGCAAATTATATCCGACTAGAGAATTATAATTAATTGTGACAGAACAGAGATCTTCTTCAATCTTATGAATCAAAACACGCTCTGAAAATAGCAGGTACCATTATTATCCCAATAGAAGGACAAGTAAGGCAAACCTCACTGTAAATCAACTCCCAAATCTGAAACAAATGAGAAAGTGAAATACCCAAATTAAATGCAATCAGCTGACTGATAAAGAATATATTCCAGGAGATTTAAGGAGGTAGAGGTCGTTTTAAGGAACCACCACGCCATTTTGTGCATTACAAAAATCCACTGTAGAATGCTCTGCATGCTTAAAAGCACTGCTCAGCATATTAGCAGATACCTATTTCTATTTTCATTTTAAAGTATCGTTTGTTTTCACAATACAAATATACAGACTTGCAAAGCATCACAGTATAAGCACTCTGAACTTAGATCTACGGGCTGTATTTGTTCATTCTTTATGATCTTGTCTCCCTCTAGTGGCTAGCTCCCACAACAGTTTAATTCTACCTATAACCAGTTGCGTGTGCAGAATCACAGAACTAGAAAGGAACTTCAGAAGATGTCTAGTCCAGCCTCCTGCTTCAAGCAGCATCAGACTGCACAGCACTTTGTCCAGTTGGATCTTTGAAACTTGGAAGTACAGAGATCACATAACATCTCTGAAGAAACTGCTCCAGTGCTCCACTGCCTCCATGCTGAGCTCTTCACTATGTCCAGCCTGACTCCCTTATTTTAACTTAAGCTTCAATGCCAAGCTATTAGCTACAATAACTGACAGCAGCAGGTTTCATTCTTTTCTTTGCTCTAAACTCATGTTCCTTCAAGTCCCTGACTTCACATTCACAGAACACTCATATAAACAGATCATATAAACAACAGCAACCAAGTAACAATTTCTCCCGTAAAAAATTATTTTGTTTTCAACTATCCTCCCTGCTTACCTCGTTGCAATTATTTAATGTGTCTTAGTTCACCTTTCCAGTTTCTTGTTTCAATTATTTTTAAAGTATATTGAATATTTGGGTATATTTTTTCTATTTTTTTTTTTTTGGGGGGGGGGGGGGGGGGGGGGGGAGAGAGGGGAAGAGGAAAGGGCATTTTGGGGAGGGCGGACAGGGAGAGAAGAATTACCCCAGAAAAGGATATGACAGAATAGATTGGGATTTGTTCAGAGTAATATCACATATTACATAGATAAAAAACAAACGATACCTTAAAATAACACTGAGGTTTTGAAGCCAAACAGTATGACCATTTAGTCAGAAGTAACACATCTATCACAATTTGGCAGTCAATCCTATAATCTGAACAACAATTTAACATTCAGGTATTTTAGCCTAGCAAATAGCAAAATAATTTTAATTTCAGTGCTGCAAGCAAAAGCACATGTTGCTTTGTGCTCTGCATCTGTCTGCTGTGAACATGCCACTACTTAATAACTTTCCCCACAGGATCACCACCAGTTTCAGGGTGTTCTTCCCAGATTCCACTTGACTTGCATTAAATGAAGTGTGAAACTTTGTATTAATAACATACCACAGTTTTCTCTCAAGGGAAAAAGAAATGTGTTTTCTAAAGTGTTTTTTTTAATCACAAAAATCCGGGCTATGCCCACCTCAGTGATTTAAGAGCACAGGAGGACTTATTTTCTGGTGCAAATTCTCCTTGCACCTGTGCTTAGTCTGTAACACTCACTTCACTGCACTGCTCATGCAGCTAAGGTGATTCCCTTCCTGTTGAAAACTGAAATTGTGAACTAATCTTAAGACTGAAAACCACCCTAGATGTTATTGCCATTCAAGACCAATGTGAACACACAATTTTAAAACAACTGTTTGCAACAAACCAAACACTCCTTTTTCACAATACATCACCCAGTAATTAACCCTAATCTTTATCAAGGTACCATCATCATGTACCTTTGCAAAGCTCTGGTGGGACAAAAAAGTTTAATTACCTCAAATCTACAGGAAAGGAAACAGGGCACCAGTGTCAGAAAAAAATGCCAAAAGAAAAAAGTACCAATTAGAAGTGCATTCACCTTCATTTTTTGGGGACTTTAAGCATTACTGAACATTTTGCTGTGAAAGCCACAGCCAGCAAAACCCAAGCTCGTAAAACTTACTTTAAATAAGGATACAAACTGCATGCATATTTTCATAAATGTGCACACAACTGGTGTCAACATGCAAGCGGGTGGAATGGGACACACGCAATATTTTTTCCATCAAAAATAACAGATGTACACATTTGTGTTGGGTTTATGTGGCAAGGCTTTCATCATGGGGACTGCAAGGGTAGCTTCTGGGAAGAGTCCAACACAGCCCCACATCAGGTCAGAGCCAGCTCCAGCTGTTCCAAAGGGGACCCACTGCTGCCAGCAGTTAATTGGTATCCAATTGCAAAATCAGATTTATTATCTACATTGAAATCTCTTTTTGAATCTTTGTAAAAAATTATGTTTCAGATTTTTCTGCTTTTACAAAACACACATTTACTCTTAAATCATGCACCAAAAAGGAACTAGATTTACATTGGTCTAAGTCTTTATTAAAATGCTGTTTTCTTCTCTCTTCCCAAAAGATTTGCAGACCAGTTCAACTATCTTCTGGGATTTGGAAGAGAAGATGCATACTGTAATTCAGTATACTTAGAGCTACATTTTTTTGTTGAAATAGCCAAGGCATAGGAACTTGAGCTAGTAAAAAAGAAAATCATCTGTCAACCTTCATAGTACTCTGGAAAGCTAAGATCTCATAACATCAATGTAAAATAATATAGTCCAAACAAAATTGATGTAAGGTCTGAAACTTTTGCTCCAAGAGAACACTCCTGAACTCTGCCTGTATGCCCTAATGGCATACACCACAGGCCAAGCACATGGATAAAGCAGGGCACCTGCTTGGTTCAGATGGTTAAAACACAAGACCGTGTGAAACAAGGAACACTGTTTCTTTTGAGACTGTAAATTTGCTACAGCAAGCTGACACAGCTGTTCAACTAATTTTATTTTTATTAATGAGCAAAAAGACAAACCTCTCCTTACAGCTCGTAATGCCACTTACCTACGCTGTGAGCTAATTTAGTCACACAGCACTTGTTTCACAACAGCAGTTTCCCACTGATTTGAGTGGTAAAATAAGATTTCCTAGACTTTACATTAAAAAAGCCTCTGGCTTTGTGGCTAGTCTGTATTTTTCCATACTTCACAAGAATTTCCAAAACAAAATGAATAAAATCATAATGAAAAAGAAAAAAAAAACAAAGAAACAAAGCTTTAGAATACATAACTGTTTTTTTGTACAATTATCTACTTTAACAAGCACCTATCCACACCTAACCTACAGCACATGTGCACATTAACTGCATCCTCATGTTCATATCAGGTCTTTCTCACTAGTTGAATTACCTTGTCTGCATCCACTTTTCCTTTGATAAATTCCTTCTTCCAAAACTCCAGTGCCTGTTCTAGAGTCAAACCAATGCCTTTTAAGAAAAGTCCATATTGCATACGGCCTCCATGACGGAGGTGATGGTTCTCACGTAGGGCTTTGTGCAACTGGCGCATGCAAAGAGGGAATGATTTCACAGAAAGCTGTCAAGAGAACAAAAAGACAGTGGTCATTTAATTGGTAGGGTGTAAGTTTATTGGGATCACTTCAAAATGTGAAAGGCTAGAAGGAATAATATGCATGTACATGGTATCCTTTAGACATCAATAATTTATCGGGGTTCTGTTGTATTAACATCTTCAAGCATCTACAAGCAAGACTAACATTCATTGCAGCTGATCTGCAGGTTCTTTATCTGAAGAAAATTATTTCTTATGAAACAAGATTCCCAACAGAAAAAACAACGCAACACTTAAGTTTACTTGGGCCTTGCATCTTTATTTTTGGATATCTGAGTCATGTCATGGAATTCAAAACTAAAAGGAATGTTGTTGTGTTTAAGGTAGATACTAAAACCTATTTCTACAGTTCAGATAAAAGACTTGTAAAATGTTTAAGTTGAAAAATAATTAAATAAGAAAATTTTATTAAAATCTGCTTATAGTGGTTGCTTTAGGTACTCTGAAAATACACAGAACTAAGCAACAAATTAGGCAACTCATTATAGCTTCAATTTAAATCCTGATTAGATACATTTTCAGTTAATTCTGTTCCATTTTAAAATCACTATTTCAATCAAGTAGCTCTCAACAGTCACAAAACAAATACTGAATAAAAAATGAAAAGATTGTCTGCATATAAGGCATCTGGCTTTAAATCAGAATTCATCAACATATTATAGAATTCAATGAACTGAGAGGACTTACAGCATCGATGTGCTCTAGAGCAATTTTTCCAGTGTTTTTTTGTACGCTGTAATCTGGGCCAACGTAAGAATGGCTGAAAAACAAAGCAAGCAATACAACATTTAAAATTACCTCCATTCAATTTTTTTCCTTTTTTAATATTTACAAATTTGGGAAGAAATTATTTTATCAATTAAGGGCTAGAAATATTTTACAGCAGACAAAACCAAGAAAGAAATAGTTAACAAGTCATGTAATTTAGGTTTCAAGAGCCAGCATGAAGAAATCCTCCTTTCCAATATCCTAAAGGAATGCTGCATTGTCATCCAGAATTTAGATCACAGAATCACACTATTGTTGAGGCTGAAAGAGACTTCTGAAGATCAGCTAGTCCAATCCCCCTGCTTAAAACAGAATTAACTAAGCAGGCTGCACAGCATTTTATCCTGTTGGGTTTTCTGCACCTCCAAGGGGGACTCTACAACCTCCTGGGCAACTTGATCCAGTGTTCAAATTGCATTAAAACATGTTTACTCATATTTAAATAGAATTGCTTGGATTTCAATTTGTGTCCTCCGCTTCCTGATTTATCACTGGATATCACTGAGAAATGTCTGGCTTTATCTTCTTTACACCCCTTATACAGTACTTCTTTATTTGTCAGTAGGACACATGTACACCTAAACCTCTACTTTATGTTAAACAATCCCAGCTCTCAGCCTTTCCTTCTAAGACAGGATTGGGCCCAGCACTCCAAATGGGCCTTCAACAGAAGTGAACAAAGAGGAAGAATCCTCCCTTGACCTGCAGGCAGTGCTCTTCCTAATAACACGCAAGAGACAGCTGATTTTCCATGCTTCAGGGGTATATTGGTGGCTCTCAGTTTGCTGTCTACCATGACCCCAAGATCTCCTCCTGCAAGTCTGTTTCACAGCTGTCACCCCTAGACTGTACTTGTACGCAGGGTTGCTCCTACCCAGATGCAGTGCCTGGCATTTCCCTCTGTTAACTTCATGGACTTCTGTCAGCACATCTGTTCAGCCAGTCCAAGTTGCTCTGATTAAGTCTGCACAACCCCTGGTGAGGCAAACTCCTCCCAGTTTTGCATCTGCCATTTTTTAAGTGTGCACTCCATCCCATCATTAATTTATTAAAAGAGACACCGAACCATACAGGATCCAACACTGACCCTTGAGGCACTCCTCTAACAGCAGGCCTCTAAACTGGTCTTCAACACTCTGAGCGAAGCACTCTTCAGACCACCTCACTGTCCATATATATGTATATATATATATCCATATATATCCATATATATCCATATATATATATAGCCCATGTTTCATCAGTTTACCAAGGAAACTGTTACTTCAGAGAGAATCAGAAGTCCTGCTAAAATCCAGATAAACATCCACTGTTCTCCTCCATCAACTGAGCTATTCATTCCACCTGACAAGGCAATAAGGTTGGTGAAGCATAATTTCACCTTCTGAAATCTGTGTCGTGATCTCCTTCTTGCTTTTTATAGGTCTGAAACCAAGACGAGAATGATCAGCCTATACTATCCTAAATCCTTATCCTTACCCTTCTTAAAGGTGGGGTACTTCTGTTTTCTTCTAGCAAGAACTTCTTGTACCTTGCTACTCTTCTACTTGTGCAGCATTTAAGAAAAAAAAAAAAATTACTTATGTATCACTATGAACATCTGCTGGGATGGAAGAGGAAAAACTGAACACCTTCAGAGTATCAACAAAAAAGCGGAGGAGGATTTACTGCAGTACTGACATAAAAACTCCTGACAGTAGCTGTCTAGCCAAAATAGCACAGGGTTCAACACACGCAGCCTCATCTCTCACCCATATTGTAGCAAAGCTCCTCCTGACAACTAAGCTTAGCTCAGGCAATGCAATACTATATCACAGCAAACATGTAAGCACCATCAATGAAGTCATTTCAAATCAAATACAAGCATGAGGTGCCTGGGTTTTGCTTTTAAATATACAGCTTTCTTGGTTGAGGATATGCAGTACTGCAGAACAGGCCAAGAGAAACGCTTACAGCAGAACCCTACAGAAATTAGGAGCTGACAGTGCAGCAGGCAAAGCAAGCACAAAGATACATCTAGTTTAAGGGATCAAAAATCATTTTTAACCTAGTAAGCTGTAAAGCCTGGGTAAGAACAAATTTCTTTGTGCCAAAGGGATTTTGCAAGTGACGTACAGAGATCATTTCTCAAATCTTCCGGACAAATAGAGAGATAAACATCAGAAAAAAAAAAAAAAAAAAAAGAATTTAACTAAAACGATGATACTGGGTGCCACTGACTATTCTGTGACATTTCAACACTGTACTGTCTGGAAAAACATACAGCTACAAGTTGATTTTACCGTGGTGCAAATCACTTCTTTTATTATACATGCTACTCATTGGTCATTTTGGCTTATTTCTGGGACCAAGCACAGCACTAGATTGTTTTCATTTATAAACAATGCATAGCTAAGACAGAGAACTCAAGTGGTGGGTGGGTGGAATAAATGATACTTTCCAGACTCTGAAAAGCTTAAATATCCTCAGCACAGTAGGCAATGAGGGAATGTTTCAAGTGTGCTTCCCAGCTTTTACATTAAAAAGTAGTACATGACCATGGCAAGGTCATGTGTCGTACTGTACTTGTACATGGTGTTGTTCCTACCCAGTCGCAGTGCCTGCCATTTTCCTCTGTTGAACTTCATGGAACTTCTGTCAGCATATTGGTTCAGCCTGTCCAAGTTGCTTCATTCCTGACACCACAGAGCTGAACTCTACGCACTGCATTTGAAGGTGAACAAAACTGAAACAACACCTTCATCCATGCAGAGCACGTGGTACATTGGAGCTGGGCATAACAAAGCCAGAACTGGTTACATGTTTGTAGGATTCCATTGGACAGAAACTTTCGGATTTGCAGTTTTATGCATCATGCCTTTCATTTCCAACAGCAGAAATTCTGTAGATCCCTTGATCACAATGAAACAATACTTTATTGCCTTTCCAATTGCCATTATTTTCTCTACTTTTCTACTGAAAATTTCAACAACCTTGAGGGAAAAAAAGGACAATCCTTTCTTCTATAAATAACAGCACTTATTTCTTCACACCGTTACACATTGCCAAATAGCCTCCCACTACTGATTTGGAAATGCTTCACAACACAAGTCAGGCTTCTGATCACCCTCACTCTTTTCAGCTTCCAGTTTTAGCTCTTCTTTTGGACTTCCCCCCTCCCCCCCCCCCCCCCCTTTTTTTTTTTATTTATTCCACACAGCTTCTGTGGTTACTCCCTGATATTGATGGTTCCTCACTCAATTAAAAATCCATACAGCTCTTCACAATTTCTTTTTGTCTGCTTGCATTCTAACAAGCCACAATGCCTTCATCTTTTCACTCTAAAATAATTTTGTTTTCCCTCCATACAGAAATTCCTGCATCTCTCCATTCAGCATGCTTCAATCACTCAAGAACTGTCCACAATCCAAAAATCACAGATACTAAAATAATTCCAAGCCTATCTTACAACTAAAGATTAACTGCAAGTTCAAATAACAGTTCTAAAATCTCATTAGTCTTACAATTCCTCAGTAAACATCATAGCACCGTTTCAATATTGTTTTCTCAATCATCAGATGTAAAGCTTTTAGATGTAATCTATTTTTAGAGTTTCTTTCAAAAGTACACCCACATCACTCAGATGAAAGACCGGCATTCCTTTCTACAAAAGATGTATAAAAAGCAGTATTTAAGAATAAAAATGTGCCTGTTTCAATGTATGCTGCTCGGCAGACTGAAATAAAAATAAGGGAACAAAATGCTAAGTCCAGCATAGGAACAGAGTACTGTCATTTGAACACAAAGGGGTCAAAAAGTGGCAACAGTCAGCAACTACAAGAACAAAAGCACTTCTGTCTGTGCTTATGCATTTTTTTTTCATGCAAGTTTACGTTCTTGCAAAAACACAATTCTAAAGACACCATACACACATTTTCCACAGGAAAACAATTAGAGATATGTATTTTCTTAAGCATTTCTAGCTGGCAGTAAGTATTAAATTTTGTAAGGATTTTCGAATTGGGTCACATTCAACAGAATTGTCAGAATTGTAGTAATGCTGGTTTGAACAAACAATGCCAGGAAACAGTTAAGCCATTAATGCAACACTGAATGCAAAATAAATTTTAAGAATATAAAAGGAAGAAAAGCTTAGAATTTTTTACTTTACACAGGTTGCTGTAAACAGATCATATCTGTATGATGTAATCTATTATTGCAGTGTCTGCTCTTACGAATTCAAGTAATGAGGAAAAAAATCAAAGTGATTCATAATTCAGGATTAATATCCAAAATGCCTAACCCAATAACAGACACAAAGCCAAAACATTCTAAAAGATAAAGTGGCTTATCTAAGCTGAGCAAGCTTAGAAGAATATAAACAGACAACAAATAAAATTTTCCTGTAACACACAATCCTATTTCCTATATTGTTACATGCCAAACAATTATTTGCTTACATATCATGATCCAGGGCAGAAACAGAACACTGTAGTTACTGTCTTTCATTTAGACCAAGTTAAGTTGTTCTAAAATAGTCTACACATCTGATTACATGTGAACGGGTTAAAATTTAAAAGCTGGATTACACTCTAAACTGAGACAGAAAGTGAGGAGGAAGACAAAGATAAACATGGGCTACTTATCATAAGCATTCAATTTACAGGGAGTTAAATTCTCAATGACTGCTCATACATACACATGCATTATTGTTGACCACCAAGAAGAAATCACCATACCCACATTTCCAGGAGTAGGATGTGTCTTTCAAAAAAGATCTGTTAAAACATTCTGACAAATAAAGCATTTAGCATACCAGGAGATTTAGTAGGGATATGAAGGACATTTTGATGATGTTGAGGATAGGAAATGACAAGTCTATGGTGGTGTTCCTTCTTTACAGTATGAGTGCCAGAGGGTAAACGTATCTGCACAAGAACTGTGCAGATTCATTTAAAAAAAAAAAATCTAGACTTGCAAAACAATTGTTTTCAGCACCAACCTTGGGAACTATCATTTGATAACAGAACAAACAAAATTATTCAAATGCTGTTTGTGAAAGATGCTGAATGACCATTTAGTTCCACATTCAACTTAAAGTGGCACTACGATCAACTGTAATCAGGTCAGCCCTGGATTTTTTTCTAGCTTGTTCCTAATGATTTCCAAGAACAAAAGATTCCCTATCTCTGGGTTACATGCTGCACAATAACCCTAGCAGAGATATTTTTGCTAATATCTCATCTGAAACTCCAAAGCTGCTACACGTAACCACTGTCATTTGTTATATCCTCTGGCACCATTAAGAATTCTGACCTGTGAGTACCCAGGTCTCACATAAAATATACATTTACTCTAAACTAGTCCAACCACAGATATGCCCATTTTAAAAGAAAACAAGCAGAAATTCAAGTGTCTATGCTGACATAATCCATAATGAAATCAGCTTTGAGGACTAGCATATTTAAAAGTCCCACACGGTCATGAATAGCAGCCAACAAATGTACACAGCATTAATAACCAAACAATGCTCTGCAAGTATCAATTGTGTTTTCTTTTCTATCTGAGCCTCAGATAAAGCTCTATTGACATGTGCAAGAAATAAAATGTTGCAGTAAGAATTCATGCACCGAAGGAAAAGGAAAGCCTAAACTAATAGTCTCCTTTTTCCTATGAGTAAGATGAAGCAAAAATGAATCATTGATTCATGAAAATAAGTAACAGAAAAGACCCATTTAGTCATTTGTCTGTTCACTGCTAGAGCCTGTTTTTCAAGTTGAAGGATTTTATGTATTCCACCTATTTTTAATGAATTTGCCAAAAGACAATGATTTTTGCATAATTTTTTCAACTGGGGACTGTACTGGGAACAGTTCCTTCACTGTCACAACTGTAAAATAAAAGCAGCTCACTGGTTGCTTAATAAAAAAAAAACAAATTAACATCAGTATGCAAAAAAACACCATTTTGCATAAACATCAGATTACCTGTTAGTTTAAGTAGATAGTGTAAAACTCAATGTTTTTTATGCAGACTTTCCTTTACCAAAGTTATTTAAAAAAATGTGCAACGTTCTATGATTGTGTGATACTGAAGATTGTTCCACATATGGGAGATTTCAGATTTCTCAGCAATGCCTCCTGGAGAGCATAATTCAGAAAAAGCTGACCTAATTGCTCTTCAGAGTCAAATGGAAAAAGGTATGCCACAGAGCACATTTGGAAAGTCCCACTAAGATGTATGGTAATAAAAACATGAAAGGTTATTAGCAATCAGAAGCAGTCCCTGAATAGTAAAGTAAGTTACGCTGTACTTTTTCAATTCACTGCTCTGTAACATACATCAATAAACAATTTCTCTTATTCTGATTTACATAAGAACATCTTTATGCATTATTAATAAAAACGAGGAAAAAAATAAAATGCTGCAGGTTTTTTTTATTTGGCTTGGATTTTTTTTTTTTTAGGTACAGATATCACAAACAGCAGAGCACCACAGGAAATGAACTGCATGCTGACTAGATCTGCATCCTAAATCAGGTACAGCGCTGTCATGATGGAGCCTCACTGTTTCCATTTCTAATTCATTTAGCATCATTTCAGTAAAATTAATGCTGTATAACTTTAAAAACAGGGCTCTTGTTAAAGACATTCAATATTTAAGTAAATTTATACTCTTAAAGAGAACAAAAATTCAACAATTCAAACTGATATGTACCTGAACCACTCAATCTAACTGGATCTGTTTTGAGCAGGGCCTAGGTAAGATCATTTCCAGAAGTTCATTCGAGGCTGAATATTTCATTAGCCCTAAACCAGTGCACCTCCCTCTGGTTGCATGGTTTAGTCTTACTGTATATTATTAAGAGAATTCTCCAAACAATATAAAGTAGGGGGGAAAAAAATAATCATATATGGATGAAAAACTTATGCCTAACTTGAAGAATATCAAAAAAGTATTCTTACTCTTCAACCTCAGATACATTCCAAGAAACTAGAATATCTCTATATTCTTCCAGCTTGTCTTTTTTTTTTTTTTTTCCAGTCAAAGCAAATCACAAAGCTAAAGGTATCTGAAAAAAATTTCTACCCCCAAGTGCATTCTGTTTACACTACCTGAGATGATTAAGCAGTGGTTGTAGTCTCTCATCAGACTGTATGGAAGGCAGTGATCGTGCTGTCAGCTAGAAGACAAGAGAAGTGCAGTGAATGATATACAAGCTTCCAGAAACACATGTAGCACAAAGTCAGAATGATGCAATAAAGTCTTCCTGTGTTGCTAACACTAAACAGCATTGGCTAAGGCACATTTTCTCCTATTAAAAATAATTAAGTCCAGCCTTACACAATCTGAAGTCAGCAGAAATATTTATAAATTAAGAAAGTTAAACAGTGAAAAACAGTTTTACTACAATGACATTATCTGCAATAAACACTAAAATATCACTGAAAGTTGCATATTTTTTTCTAAACATATTTGGACTGGAAGTCACATGCAACCTACACAACCTTTTGGCTCTGTAATATATAATGCAACACAGCATATGTAATATATGTAATACATAATGTAATGCAGTCCATTAAGCCTTAATAAACACAATTTACACCTGTGCATAAAAATTTAAATGACTATCTCTATATAACTTTTACATAGACATGTCTCTGCATACACTGCTGTTGCTGTTTATGGAAATAATCTGTATTTTGTAATTGGACTATTTTAAACCAAATATGGACCCCTCTTCTTGTAGCAAATGACTAATTAAAGCATTGAAACATGTCACGCTATTGAGAACTATTAGTTAATTATGTATTAAACAATATACATTTGCTTAATACTATATATATATATATATATATATATCTGCCTTTCCTATAAAATTTACAAGCATAACAGCTCTGACATTGCTGACATTAATCTAATATAAAATATTTAATGTAGCATCCATTTCATTATCCTAGTGCTGTCAAATTAGGCTGTATTTTGAAAACTACCTTCAGACAAACGTAAACTGAAATGGCGACAAATCTTACTTTATATACATCACCATCAAGTTCTTGAATATTTTTACAGGTAACTTAAATATGTTTAATGTTACACATACATTTTTTTAGATCTTTAAAACCAAAACTTTTAGGACCAGCGATGCAGACTCTCTTGGCTGGCTCCAAGACACCAGAAAAGCAAAGCTCTGCAGTGGAGATCCAAAATGCAGGTATACAATATTGGTATATAATAACCCAAACGTGATCCAAAGACAGCAACAAAGGGAACTCTGAAGTGCCAGCAATCCATCGATATTAAAACAGGCCAGAAACTTGGCAATTCACAGAATCATAAAATCCTTAGTTGGAAGGGACCTTTAAAGGTTATCTAGCCCAACTCCACTGCAATGCACAGTCCTTGAAAGTCCCCATGGAAGGCATCAACCACACCACTGGGCAACTTGTTCCAGTGCATCGTCACCCTCACTAGAAAAGACTTTTCTTTACATACAATCTAAATCTACCCTTTTTGAGCGCGAAGCCATTTCTCCTTGTTCTGTCACCACAGGCCCTGCTAAAGAGTCTGTCCCCTTCTTTCCTGTAACTCCCCTTTGGATACTGAAAGGCTGCCATCAGGCCACCTCACAGCCTTCTCTTCTCCAGGCTGAACAGCCCCAGCTCTCTCAGCCAGTCCTCACAGGAGAGGCATTCCATCCTTTGGATCATTTTTGTGGCCCTTCTCTAGACACATTCCAACAGGTCCATGTCTCTCCTGTGCTGAGGACTCCACATCTGGATGCAGTACTTCAGGTGAAGGCTCACCAGCACAGAGCAGAGGGGCAGGATCACCTCTCTCAGCCTGCTGGCCACACTTCTTTTGACACAGCTCAGGATATGCTTGGCTTTCTAGGCTGCAAGAGCACATTGCTGGCTCATGTCCAGCTTCCCACACATCAGTAATGCAAAGGTATATAATGAAGCACCAGCCACATCACCTTTGTATTATCAAGGTAGGTTGATACAGCATAGCACAAATTCAATGTGTTTATTTTAAATCAAAACTCATTTTCTTATCACTGAGTGCTACAGGCTCATGAAGTGCTAAGTAATAACCAACTACTTATTCTATACTCATAACCTACATAAAGCAACAATCCACTTTGTTTGAAATACACCCAGCCAGGAATTATTTCTGACTGGAGTTTGGAAGCCCTCTAAACATTGTCAAGCTACTTTGTTTGGCTAAAAACACAACAGTCTGAATTACCTGAAATGCCATCTGCTTCTCTTGCTGTTAATATTTGACTCATATACATACTTGACAGAACAGCATTTGTGTACACTTGCTCACATACAGACTTTCACATGAGATAAGGGTATAGTATTTTTCTCTACCCAGCATCCTACATAGCACCAGGAGAATAAGTTTTCTTCATGTCTGAATCCATTGGTATGGCTCACTTACTAGGTCCATTTTTTATTGTTTTTAGAAAATGAATTCTAAATGTTACATTTGCTCAGAACAAAAAAATGATTCTTCTTCCTGTTGCAAACACCACATTTATGACAAGGCAACATTTATGAAAATCAAAAAAATACTGATACTACTGCCAAAGCTCTCTGTATGTAATAAACTAAGTTGTATATAACATTAACTGAACAGAAATACTGTTTCATAATTAACCTGGGAGACTTGTAAGAACTGAGAACCACAAACTGGTTATCTCTGTGTTTAGCCAAGTTTTACTTTGATAGTACAGTGAAAGAATACAGATATAGTTTATGCTGCCTAGTTCAGGGATCACTGCAAAGGGAAAAATAGAACATAATCACTTCAAATCACAGGAGAATCCAGTATTATTCCTCCACTTTTTCCTTCTTTCTTGTTGTTTTTTGTTTCGCCTACAACCACGTGTTTTATTAGCAAAATGAATCCCTGTTTGTGACTCTTCTGTGTCACCTGGAATGGCAAGATAAATATTTCTATATAAAACACTCCCATGAAAATGGGATCATCTATCTTTCCACAACACAGACTTCGTTACCTTCATTCAAGTAATTATTTTCAAGAAGAAGAAGGATCCTCACAACACAATTCATTTCCATTTAAAATGGAACACCTCCTCAACACAGCTATTTACTCCACAGTCACCAAAAGCCCTTTTTGGTTTTCCAGGTTCTGTTTAGAACAGGAAGGTGCCTCCAATGCTTTCCCAATACCACTACACATTTTTTCCTAACAGAGGCATTCAAGAGCTACTTCAAAGTCAGGCACTACAAAATCATAAAGAATATGAAAATAGGGAATAGGGGTCTGACGAAGTAGAGAAGATATGCTGACCATTACACCCTTAGCTAGAATGCTACACATGCCATCAGTACAAATCTTCAACAGAAAAGGGGAGAAAAAATCCTCAGGATACTCAAGATATCCAGTCTTAATTATTTATTCTAGTAGATAAAAAGATGTTCATCAATCATGCATGAAAAACACGGAAGAAATGAGAAACCACTTGAAGACTGCTGTATCGTATCAGGCAAAGCCGATTTGTTCAGCTGAAACTTAGAAGAGATTAATAGTGCTAAACACTGTAATCACTCTTATCTTAACTTCTTTACAGGAGAGAAAGAAGTTTTCCTGAATGTTATTGAAAACTTGCTACAAACTTATAAATAAATAAAGCTTGCCTGACACGAAACTTGAAGTTAAGCAGCAGCTCTACACGCTACCAGGATGTCATTTATATACATAGCAATTAAGAACAAGATTACTGTGACTCAATTTCCTTGTCTCCATTTTTTACGGGTGTGAATTTTTTTTGACTTTGAGGTTACAGTATGAGAACTATTTGCTCTCAAGATATTTTCTGTGCAAAAAAAAGATAAAAGATTTTTATTGTCACGAAGAGTTTGCTTTCTGGACAAGGTGTCCTAATTAGCTGTACTGCACAAGAGAACTTTAACGCTGTCAACACTTAATGAATACATTTTTTAAAAGTCATATCAAGTCAGATGTTATTTTGCAAAATTACATGGAAGGTTTACAAGGAAGCACAGAAAAAAGGACTTAGACAAAAGTTATTTTTCGCTGAGAGAACCTACTGAATTACTCTAGGCTCCTCCTACATCTAGCCAGAAAAATCAAGGTCTGTTTGGAGGATGCATTAGAGAATCTACAATGTACATTATTACCTAGAGTATCTCCTTATCAGCTGGTAAGTGCTTCCAGAACCCACTGTCCACATGAACATCTACAGCCTGTACAGAATTCATCAAAGTCTTTTTTTTTTTTCCCCCCTTAATCTAAGAACTACCTGTGCCCAGGAAGGTGGTGAAGTCACCATCTCTGGAAACGTCCAAAAAATGTTTAGACATGGTCCTGAGGGACACAGTTTAGTGGCAAATATTGGTGGTAGGTAGATGGCTGGACTGGATGACCTTGGAGGTCTTTTCCAATCTTGATGGTTTTATGATTCTGTGCTGGTGTACATGCTATTTCTTTCATGAAAAAACTTCTTCATAAACATTTCTCTTATTAAAATCATTAATGAATAGGAACTTATAAACTTTCAAACATCATTTTCAACAAACTCCTAACTTTTAGGCAGTGATTTCCTTAACAAGTAGTTTTAAAGGACATGAACTCTGCAATGTAACAGCCTCTTTTTGTATCCTAAATGTATCAGACACCATAACAGTTGCTTTAGTTTAAATTTAAAAAAGAAAATAAATTCTAAAAAAATCTCAGAAAGTCTCAAGACTTCTGAGAAAGCTCCACTTTCTTTTAACTAAGAGATCTGTGAGTGATAACCTCACGTCACCTTCTAAACCTATACAATATCTTTGCCACTAAGAAGCCATGAGACTCTCATATTGCCAAAACCCAAGAATTCAATTTTATCACATCTCCCAGAGAAGTCTGCACCATCCAACAAAACTTACAGGCTGCCTCGTAACAACAGATTGATTTTGAAACATCAACTGTCTTGCTAAATGGGTAACAAAATGTCACCATGCAAATGCTATGCAGCTAGGGAACCTGAGTGAGGAGAGCAGTGTTTGCACGCCAGCATATTGCTGTACCTAGACAGATGACATTTGAGCACTGATCAATTTTCCTCTGAAAAAAGTTGTGTTTAACCTTTCACAACATGTTGCAAATCTCAAATGCTGTAAAAAAAAAAAAATTAATAAGCAA